AATTTGAGAGTATATTAAAAAAAAAAAGAAAACTTTGAAATATAAATCTGGAGACATCATAGAGAAATTTTTAAACAGTTTCCAAATAGTGTAAGCTATTTTGTATTTATGCATTGGTTTAGAATTAATATCAGTGACGGAGTTAAGTGAATTTTTAATACTTCCATTTAATTTTGGAAATAAATGAAAGTAGTAATATTATCAATAATAATATTATTATCATACGTTTATTTGCTTAAAACATGGTATAACATGAGATGTAACAAGAGACAGTGTAGTATAAACATGTTTCGCATATTTTAAATAGCATGCAAATGTCTGAATATACAACGTCAATTGACTACTATTGGCCGAGTGCCTTTGATTTGTGCAGAAAAATCAACACTTCTCCGAAGTGAGACAAGTAGTCAAGAGCGACTGCGAGTTGTGACAAGCCACGTCAAACGAGCTCTATACTCGTTAGCGCTCGCTTTCAATCCGTCAGCTAGGCGAGTGACACCGAACGACGGCAAGGCAAGGCAAGGCAAATAGGCTGTCTATACATTGGTATTGGCCTTCACCCGGCAACGTTGGACCAACATGGTCATTGTATTGCTGGCTTTATAAAATAAGAATTTTTAGTAGTTAGAGTTGTCAGTGGGAATAAATCGGAAACGAGTGGATAATTTTGTTTTCAGGAACTGAGAATGCCTAGTAAATGAGTCTTGTTTAATTTAAATTAAATATAAAATTATTTACCAATAAACCTAATGATGGAATTGCATTATCATGTAATCTAGTTACGTTCAAAGTTATGTTAAAATGTGACTCTTCAAAATGAAGCGAATAAATGAAGATGGTCTTTGATTCAGTATTTATATTCGCCATTCCTATGATTTCCAACCATTCTTTTTTCTTCTTTGATTTGTGGGTAAACTTGAAATAGTAAAAATAATAATAATAAAAACTTCGTATAGTGAATTATTTTAATAACAGAATATCGATAATATGTACGCTTCCAAGAACAACACTATCTCAAAATAATCGTTAACAACAATCATCAAAATATACAAACAAACAGGCAATCTGAAGAAACCAAAGCAAAATTTGGCAAGATTTATGAATAAACTACTTAAATATGTCTAATTACATGAGATATTTGGACTTTTGGGTGATTTATAGACAGAAAAATAACACGTGCCTGTACAATATTACATTCGGTCGATCTTCGCTTTTTTCAATGCCACATCCCGTAATGCCGCAGCGACGAATTTTTATTAATACTTAATTGTTCTCACTGTCAATATTTTTGTCCATTTTATTAAAATACATGCAAATAATTCAATAAAACACTTGGAAAACATTTGTTTTGACATTTGATGTACTTCCCTTTGACATACGTATCATCTACCCTTAGACTATTCTTTTATTTTTTTCTTGGCATCTACCTCATGTACTGCGAAATGGACACGGTTGGCATTTAAAATGACGTTACGTATTTTCGATTCCCATGTTTGATACAGACCAATCTTTTGGCTTAAGACGGCACGCAATAGTTAAACATAGACAATAAGATGTTTATGTTTCAACGTCGAAATGCATCATATACATATAACGTCAGTTTTATATATGTCAACATAACATGTCCTTTAGTTATGTGCTTATTTTAAAAAGCAGACCTTTTTAAATGCTTTTTGTTTAAACGCCCAGCTCTATATATCAATCTAAAAACTCTGAATAGCGCCTGTACTAAATATTGAATACACTATCAACCAACCAGAGGGCCTCCATTATTTGCAAGAGCGAGACAGATGTATTGCTATCTTACTAGTATATGGGATATGCGGCCCGTGAACTTCCCGCCAAAGAGTAGACTTGCCGCGTAGAACAAAATGACCGTCGCAGCGAGCAGATGTAAGGTATGCCGCTACAAACCTTTGTAGCGGCATACGGTATACCTATACATGGTGACTTTTTAATACGGTATATTCATTTGTACGGTACAGCTTAATTTTATTAAGACTCAATTTGCATTGCTACAAAACATTTTTGTACCGATATTGTACAAAGCATAATGAACTGTATGTCAATTTTACAACGTACAAACTATAATAGATGCGATACCTAGGATTTTGTACCTATACCGATAGGATTTTGTATGTTTGGTATTCTACTAAAAGACTAGTGCATAGTTTCCCAAAGAGGTCCCTAGCGCCACCAGGGAATCCTAAGCAATTGGGAGGCGTTGATGTTGTCCAGAGGGTGCTACCGCATTTGAAAATAAAAGCCTGAATTATCTATGTAAACTACACTACATTTTTTTTCCTTGCGATTTTTTGTGTTAAATTAATGTAAAAAATAATACGTTTTCAATTATTTTTTTGTGGTGGTGGGCGTTAAAATATTTTTATCTGGCGAAGTTGGGCGGTGATCCAAAAACTTTGGGAACCTAAATTAAATCAAATCACATCATTTATTGTGTACGCACGTTTATAAGGTCAACAATATAATAAGTATTAATTACAAAATGTCAAATCCTAATTTTAATTTCAATTCTTAATGACAAAAATGTCATTATATTGTGGTAGGTTACTGTTATTCTATGTTCTTGTCATTTAAGCAATCACTGACTTTATAATATGCTTTCCTAGTTAATATTTTTTTTTTAGTTTGGCATTGTCTCGAATATATGATTATAGTTTTGGCGCCATCGCACAAATATTATCATGAAAGTAGTCGTAGTAGTAGTCAACAAGTTTCAATTTATTGTATCTTCGAGTACTGTCCACGTTGCTGAAGAGTGTAGGATTCCTCCGGACAAAAAGAACTACCACGAGTGGCTAGCTATTGAGTTATTCAGCTGCCATTACAATTTTTTGGTTTTCTGTACGGCTACCATGAGTTCAGTGACAGTTTTCAAAGACGGTAAATAAGAAATTACTAACAAGGGTCTATTAGAAGCCGAAGACTGAGGGCTTTTATAACTCGAGTTTGGTATTTTTTTACCGTCCGTATGTACAATAATCTAAACTTCATAGTTTAGCCCACCGGCGCAAAGTTGCCTGTCTGTCGGTTTTCTACGGAATATATGGTGAGTGTGCCCGTGAGCTCATCCCGCCAGCCCCCTTTCACCATCGAACATCCAGACGTACGGCGGGATATCATCCTTACTTGGTCGATATTCCTTTCAGGCGTACTAAGCGCTTTTCATAATCTTTTATTATGCGCACAGCCCAGGAAT